CCCCCTAACAGAGGGCAAACTCCTGAACAGATACCATTTCACTGACCTGTGCCCCGCTGGGGCACTTTATACACAGAATGAACACTTGTATGACTGAATGGAAGAGTAAAGGGGCAAGGTCAGCCGGAACTAAATTAGAGAAGAAACTTGCTCCTACTTTCTTCCCATTTCTTTTTTTTTTAATTTATTTTTAATTATGGTCAAATATATGTAACCTAAAATTTACCATCTTAACTATTTTAAGTGTACAGTTCAGTAGTGTTAAGTATATTCACATTGTTGTGCACACGATCTGTAGAACTTTTCATATACCTGCTCACCAACTCCCCATTTCCCCTCCCCCAGCCCTGGCACCCACCAGCCCTCCTTCGTCTCTGTGTTTGACTGCTCTAGATGCGTGATATAAGTAGAATCATATGGCATGTGTCTTTTTGTGTCTGGCCTAATACACTGAGCATAATGTCCTGAAGTTTCATCCGTGTTGTAGCACATGTCACAAGGCTGAATAATATTCCACTTGATGTCTATACCATATTTTGTTTCTCCACTCATCTACCAGTGGATATTTGTGTTGCTTTCATTTTTTGACTGTTGTTAACTTTCCCCTGTTTCCTAAATCAATGCAGATATTTTATTTTAGGTCAATCGCATTAAGTCTAATTTTTGTCTTGCCTCCCTGGCAGCCTTTTTGAGAAGCAGATGCCGGGGAGCACAGGGAAGCGACCTTTCAGACAGCAGTTCTGTCCGTTTTATCATCTGTGAAAAGAGAAAAATCCTTCATCTTGGTATTGTATTTGTGATCTAGTATTGGCCAATAGCTCCCTCTATCAGTGAATCTGTCAAAAACATTATCGCACTGTGCAAATGAAAACTGTAGGGAAAGCCAGGAACTAGGATTCAGTGGCCCCCCGAATAAAGAAACATTACGTGCCTTCAAGGTGCTTAAAGTCGACACCAAGGGATAAACCAGACTCCGAGCAGTGTGGACCGAGGACCCCTGGGGTGTCCCTTAGATTCTCCCAGCCCTCGATGAGGGCCTCTCTTTCCCGTCCACCGGTCTGTGTGACGCTGACCTATCTTCCTGTGCTTCGCCTAAAACAGCATCTTGAGGCAGATTGAATGAGGAAGCTAGCAATCCATTGGTCAGACATGAAGAAATTTTGCAACAGTGTAGCACAGTCACTTTTCTCCCTACATTCTTTTATTTTGGAAAAAATAGTTATTTTCTACAAAAATGTTTGTTTTGTTAACCTGTTTTGGGTTTATTATATGCTAAGCTTTTGTTTTAATTTCTGATATGGTGAATTATGTGACATCCATATAAATGGAAGTTTTTGGGGTCCTGAAAAATGTTTACATGTGTAAACGGGTGTTGAGCCCCCCAAATTTGAGAACCACTCATAGAGGAAGAGCCTCAGAGGCAACCTCAGTGAGTAAAGTGAATATAAGAGCCAGCTGAGATGCTACAGTGCACCCCCACCCCCGCCCTGTAGCCTTGCTTTCCTAAGCCCAGCCCTGTAAATAAAAACTGGCAAGCAGAGTCACTAGGCCCTGGAGCCATAAAGCTCCTCCTACCTAACCTGATCAGAAGGTTGGAAGTTCCGGGAAAGGGTGAACGCCCTGGCAAGCTTCACTACTCATTTGCTCAGCAGGGACATGTGCAACAGGTGCCGTGGGCAGCCGCCAGGGATTACAGCATCCACCGTCTGAGTGACACCCCTGTGCCCTTGAACTAGGTGCTTTGAATTACGTGTCAGTCTTTTTCAGTGCTCGCAACACCTCATACAGGTATTATTAAACCCATTTTACAGAGTGGGAAAAAGAGGCTCCTATTAGTAACCTGCCCAAAGTCTAGCTCTTTTAAGTGGCAGGACTGGGATTTGCGTGTAAGTCCTCGTTCACAGCTTCCGTTTCAGAATAAGTCAGCAAAAACCCCTAAATTACACACTACTTAACAAGAGGGAGACCTCTACTGCCTAAGATGAAATCTCTGAAAACCTGGCCTAGAATTAGGAGGTGGTTGATTCAGCTATTTCTGATGGACAAAGAATATTTTATTTAAAAGATTGTATTTGTTCATTTTCAGAGAGAGGGGAAAGGAGGGAGAGGAGAGAATGCATGTGCCCTGCCCGGAAATCGAACTGGCAGCCCTATGGTTCGCAGGCTGGTGCTCAATCCACTGGGCCACACCAGCCGGGGCAAGAATATTTTATTTAATATTTGTGCATGTTTCTATGGTAATTAAGGTGTTTAGGCAATAAATCAACCTCACATCACTGCTTCAATGACCTGCCTTGCTCATGAAGACATCCTCATGGATAAAACTTTCAGTAAACACCCAGTCACAGAGGCAGAGACTATTTATGGAAGGACATAAAAGAAACCGGAAACAGTGCCTGCTTCTGGGGAGAACTGAGTGACTGAGAGTCAAGTTGAAGAGGAAGCTTACTTTTTACTGTGTACCTTTCGTACTTTTTTTTTTTTAAATAAGGCACCTGAAACCTGCCTGAGGCCTTTCTTAATCTTCTTCTTTAAAGATTTTATCTATTTGTTTTCAGAGATGGGAGAGGGAGAAAGAGAGGGAGAGAAACATCAATGTACAACAGATACATCGATCTGCTGACTCCTGCACACCCCCAACGAGGAACCCAGCCTGCAACCCAGGTGCGTGCCCTGACTGGGAACCCAAACCAGCAACCCTTCAGTTCACAGGCGGCACTCAGCCCATGGAGCCACACTGGCCAGGGCCCTTTTGTACCTTTTTTGTTGCACCATATATAGGTATTACTACCTTAAAAAAATGTTAGTTTAAAAGAACAACAAACAAAGACCCAGGCCACCCCAGATGGGAACTGCTTGACGTCTGCAGCTTTGCTAGAGACCAGTGGACCCAGCGAGCAGTGTTCTGCCTGGTTGTCAGAAGAGTCCATTCTTGCCTCCCTGACTCTCTTGGACGGCCCTCTAGCGGAACATCCACGTCTGAGCCTGGTATGAAAGCAGACGTTCAGGAGCAGCCATCTGATGTTTCAAAGCTGGAAGTCTTCCCAGAATAGCCCAAGTGGACTCGCCCAAGTGAATGGAAGCCTGCAAATTTGATGAAAAGGTCAGTAGGAAACTGCCTACTTCAATAACCCCAGGAAACGTGCTAATACCGGGGGCCTGAACGCGGCAAGGCAGGCCCGCCGAAGGGCACGCTCCAGTCCCCATTTCCTGCGGCAGTCAGAACACAATACTGCTGCCCTGACCCCTCCCCCTGCATTCACGCACGGCATTTGTCCGAGCTCCCCTGGGAAAAACTGGTCCCTCTATGCCTGTAGACAAACAACCCACTTCCATTCTCCTCACAAAGACAATGGCTAACATTCTCTCCACTCTCTGTGCCCTACACACAGAATCACAAGTACCTCACTCTCAAAGCTCTTATCTGTATCAATTGTATTGAAAAAAGTCGCTGAAAACAAGCCAAGTCTGATGACTAGGAAATACCAGAGCTATAATGGTATTGGCCAGAGACTAGGGCTCAGACCAGGCATGAGAATACTGTATATTGCCATGAATAACGTGCACTTTTTTGCCCAAGTTTTTGAGGGAAAAATAAGGACATGCATTATCAATGGGTAGCACTTGAAATACCTTGTATCTGGTCTTGTGCTTTGTATTTGTTACATAAAGTTTCTTGTACCGTAAGATCTTCAAAAATAAAATGCTAAAATTCCTTTATAATACAAAAACAAGTATCTAAATATAAAAAAATAACGGAATTAAGACCATTTTTTTCCCCTGAAAATTTGGGCCAAAAACATGGGTGTGCAGCATACATGGGGGCCCATTATACACGGCAAAATACAGTATGTCATCCTTAAACTTAATCTGGTATGAAACCTGACTTCCTGCAACCATGGGGTCCGACAACACGTTGGGTGAAAACAAAGACAAATCTCAAATGAGAACAAACTGCAGGCCTTCCTGGTTGACCGACTCATCATCCTGACTAGATACATTGGTCAGCATGCTGACGTCGCTGCTGTGTGGGACACCTGCTGTCCCATACGCCGTGTAAAATTATGGCTACGTCCTAATCCTCAATTTCCCAATTTACCTGATATATTATTTGCCGCAGGGGAAAGGCAAAATTTCAGCTGTGGCCCTGGGGCTAAATCTTGAAGGGTAACTTTAAGTGAGATGTGGAATCTGAAGCTCAGATGCCAGTGGGGGCTGGGCGCCTGGCGTGCACAAGTGGGGTGCGCTGGGAAGGGGCCAGCCAGCCCCGGGCTCCACACAGCTGATGCTGTACAGGATCCGGGGAAGCACACGTTCTGGACTTCTCTGTGGACCTAAGTTTTAAATGTTGGATATTAACTTTTCAAAAGCATGCCAAGTGCCCTGGCTGGTGTGGCTCAGTGGATTGAGCTCTGGCCTGTAAACAGGAAAGTCTCTGGTTCAATTCCTGGTCAGGGCACATGCCTGGGTTGCAGGCTGGCTTCTCCCTCTCTTCTCCTACTTTTAAAAAATCATGAAAAGCAAGAGGACCAAGGAAATCTGTCGAGCCAATCCCTACCCACAGACCATCGATTTCCTGTTAGCCCCAGGGGGGAGGAGGGGCATTTTAGACACACGGAAACGGCACTTGCAAAGTCAAGACCTCGGGGCCCGGCAGCCTGGTCAGGGAGCTGCTGCACACCGCCTGGCCTGGTTGGGAGCACGAGGGAGAGGAAGCTAGTCAGAGGGCGATCCGTCAGGCCTGAGTCACGGGCGTGCAAAGCGGCCCCAGCTGCCCAGTGGGGCCACTGAGTGGAATGGGCCCCTGCATCAGGGACCAGCCCGGTCCTGCCTGCCCCACCCACGTGAGGGTCCGGGCAGGAGCGGGGCCATCCCGCTGCTGCTGTTGGGCTGCCCTATCGATTAAACGTATGACAAATAATGGCAACTGGGAATATTGTTATTTATAAAAGAGTGCAAACTCCATTTGGAATTAAGAAACAGTTCCAATTTTTATTCATAAAATTAATCAAAACAGCAACAACACAGAGCCACATATCAATTACAAAACATGAAGGAAACAAACTATTCCAGAGACATCTTGAAAAGTTCCAAAGGAATACACACCAAGCTAAAAATCTACAGCTAAACCGTGGTTGCACAACAGGTCATATTTATTCCTGCATTTTCTCAATAAGTTCTTCCTTGTATTTGCCTTTCTCTTTTCCAACTTGTCGAGATTTGGCTTTGCGTTCAAGAATTTTTTTTCCGATCTTTGTCCAGCTTTAGCCTGGTGATAACCACCTGTTAGGAGTGAGAAAACAAGCAGATCTTTATGTTTTTGAAGCAAAAAGGCTTTATAGTCATGACTGGTTTGTACTGCAGAGGCTCCCCCAACAACAGCAGCTTGGGTTCCTTCTCCTGGCCAACCTCCTACCTGCCAAATTCCTGAGGACCTAGGCGACCATTTAGATAATTTAGTGATAAGAAATATAAATTGGGTTGGGAAAAATTATGCTACCAACCTGTTTCTGATTTGTCTATCCTCCCTTGGCTGGCAAAATGCATTGAGAAACACCTGCATTGCCCTGGCAGGGTGGCTCAGTTGGTTGGAACTTCATCCCATACACCAAAAGGTTGCAGGTTTGATTCCCGGTCAGGGCATATGCCTAGGTTGCAGGTTCGATCCCCGGGCCAGGCGCATATAGGAGGTAACCGATCAATGTTTCTCTTTCTCTCTCCCAAATGAATAAAAACACGTCCTGGGGTAGGGGTTTAAAAAAAAGGAAAAAAAGCAGATGCCTGGATGGAACCGTGATGGGTCTATTAACTGTAAAGTATGTTTGGTAGGCTCAGGCACCTGTATTTTTAAAAAAAGGAAAGAAAAGCAACATCTGCATCCCTGCAGCTCCTGGGCAATACAGAGACCATAAGGATGGGTGCACAGGCAGAGCAGCATATCCCACCAGGCGGGCCGGGGGGCCACAGGAAGAGATGGGCTCTCTTCTCCGAGTGGACGTTATCTGGCGGCGGAGCAAGGTCCGGAGCGCCCGGAACCGCCTTGCTCCCTGCTGGAAGACAGAGCCTTCACCAGGGCTGACAAAACAGACAAGCAACAGATCTGGATCCTTGATGATATCACTGGGCCAGTGAACCTATCAAGCCTGTCTGACCTCCCTTGGGAGGTCCTTTGCTAAGGTCGCCTGTGTGGACAGGACCAACGCGTCAACAACTCTAACAGCAGCAATACGCCACGTGTGGCTGCTCCCAATGCCCGGCCCTGGGCCGTACCTTGCTCGGGTGAATGCCCACATGGACAGTTGTGCCGTTGGCCTTCTCACGCTGCACCCGCTCGATGTAGATGACGTATTTCTTTCTGTACACCTGGACTACCTTGCCGATTTGCTGGCCTTTGTAGTGTCCTCGAACCACCTAGGAGAACATTCAACAAGAGAATTCCCTCCCATTTCTAATGCATGAATGTCACAGTGAGGACACCATCAGGAGCACACAGGCTAACGTACAACTTTTTGTACAACAGCAGATTAACCCTGGCAGTGAAAAGCCAGCTATTTTTAAGTACAAATCAGCTTTGTGTTAGCCTACATCAGGTGGAATTTCTTTACCTGAATTTTTTTCTTTTCATATCTGAAGAACAAAACATTCCTTGAACTAGGGTGGGCATCACAAAAATAATCCTCAGAGTAAAAAGATATAATCACTATACACCTAAAACTAATGTAATGTTATATATCAACTATATCTCAGTTAAAAAAATTAAGAAAGAAAATACAATCACTCTGAAGTCTTCAACAAAGAATGGTCAAAGATATCATACTGAGATCCGTGCAACCATTTAAAATCCCTGTTTTCAAAACATAACTTATGACCCAGGAAAAAGCTCGATAAATCTTTAGAGAAAAAAGGAGAATACAAAGATATATATAGATATCTATATGTGTATATATGAATATGAACCTTGTATGTGTATGTTTCATTTATTGATGATGACATTGAAATGTATCCAAATATCAATAATGGTTACCAACAGGAAGGAAGTAGGATCACAGATGACTATTTTTAAAATTTAAAGTCTTCCAAATTTTAAGATTCCTACAATTCAATGTTTTATACACAAAAATTCTTAATGTTAAATTAAAATCTTGTGGGCTATACTAAAAATCTGCTCACGTTCCAACTCTACTCAAAAATCAACTAGATTATGTTTTCCCTGAAGGTAAGAGCCTATTAAACAGTGGAGAAGAAGAGGCCAGGATGATACCGATTCTGGTTGGGCAATTGGATAGATGGCTCTGCCTTTCCCAGAGACACAGAGTGGGGTGGGGGCTGGGGGATGAAACAGATTCTAGGAGAATCTAAAAGGACAACCAGATCGGCCACAAAGACCTGGGAGTCATCCCCTGCAGAGCTGGTGCAAAGAGCCACCCTGAGCAACTCCTGGCACACTAGCAGCCACGGGGCTAATCAAAAAGCAGAGTTTTGTTTGACCGGCATGTTTTTTAAAAGACAGTATTAGAAAACTGAACTTGAATGCTCTTTCTTAGTTTGGGCAGGTGCCCTCCGATCGCTCTGGGCCACCATCTCCGCTCTAACACACCTGCAGGGTCACATTACTTGCCAGGGTGCTGAGGGCGAGTGAAGACTAGGACTCTCCCAGGTCCAGACACACAAGATGCTCTCAGGCAAAGGCGAAGCCCGCGCGCTTCGCATCTGGGGGTAACTGGAGCCCGCGGGAGACGTACCTGGACCTCGTCGTCCTTGCGGATGGGCATGGAGCGGACGTTGTACTTCTGCCGCAGCTCCTTGGAGAGCGGGGATGACATGATCTTCCTGCGCACGTGCGAGGGAGCATTGAAGTGGCGTTTGCGGTTTTTGCTGCGGTCCGAGGTCACGAAGGGGTTGAACTTCATGGTGACCGTCTGCAAAGAGCGGCGCGGGAGGGACCGAAGAGGCGTTCAGTGGAGTACCAGCGCCGGGCACTCCTCATCCCAGCGCAAGTGCTCTTCAAGAGGTGACCTCGGAAGAAGGCGACTAAGCGGGGGCGGGGGGAGGTAGCTGTGGGGGGCTTGGCTGTTATACTGAGTGACGGGTGCATGCCTGATCAGAGGGATCGTGGGGAGAGGGCGGCACGGAGGTCTTGAAGCGGAATAAAACGGGAAGGCACGGACTAGAGGAAAAGGCATGGTTGGAGTCACGCAGAGAGCTGTCTGGAGAGGCGTGTAACCCCGCGGCGGGTGGAAAAGGGTGCTACGAGGGGGCGAGCCTCACAGTCCGAGAAAACAACCTGCAGCTACTCACCTACCTGGCGCCGGAAATGCTCAGCTGGTGCGTGCTCAGAGCCGGAAGTGAGGTTTCCTTGTCGCGTAAGCGCAGAAAGCAGTGCCCCTTTCCCTCTAAATAAAGCTGAATGTCGCCCCCTGCGGCATGGGGTGGTATCGCAGTACCTCGTTTCCAGGGACCACCAGATAGGGAAGCGGCCCTGGGTGTCATGCGGGGAACCCAGGAGAGGTGGCACCTCTGGGGAGAAGGGGCCTATACTTTTTCAGTACCTGCAATAGAGGCTTATTGATGTCCTTGTAATAGGTTCACTATCAATAGTCTCTCTCCTGCTCCAAACTCTTTCTTTGTCCCTGCTATTCTCTGCAGAAGTCCTCCAGGCATATTATAGGGACGCTTTGAACGTCATAGTGCTCCGAAAGCAATCTGCTGGCTTGTTTCTTGAAATCATCGAGAAGCCTGTTTAAAATGCAGATTCTCATGTGCCACCACAGTCCCACAAACCAGACAGTGGTAGGCTGGGGGCAGGGAATCTGAATTAAAAGGAAGCGCCCTCACACCCCCTCACACACACCCAAGATTCTGTGGCACCCAAATGTTTGAGGGTCGCGGCTAACCAATCACCTGGCGTTGCAAAACTTCTCCCCAGTTTTTAAATTCTGTTTGGAGATCTAGGGTTAGAGTTAGACCTTGACCCAAGTGCCTCTTCATGTTGCTGGTCCTTGAGGAGCCGCCTCCATGTTTCTGAGCCTCAGTTTCCTCACCTGTGAAAAGGCGATGACTTTAGTTGGTGCCTCATGGAGTTGTTATGAGGACTAAATAAGTTAATCCATTTAGAGTGTTTAGAACAGTGTCTGGCACACAGCGTTCAATAACAATCCCAGATTATTCCCATTATTCCCATTATTCCTAATATCCCAGAAAGCCCCGAGGCCGGGCCTCGCATTCACTGAGTCCTCCCATTCAGAATTTTTCCATTAACTCCCGATGACGCAAACTGTAAGCTTTCTAAGTACACCACACGTTGGACGGCTTCCTTTCTTTCTTATTCTTCTTTGTTTGTTTTTTAACCTCTGCAAGCGCCTTCGGGAAAGGCCAACTCGCGCAGCTGGGACTCTGGGGAGCAAGCCCACCGGCGGATCGGTGACAGCCGCCCCGCCCCGCTCCTCCCGGCCCCGCCCACCCCGCAGCGGCCTTCCCCGCCCACCGCCTGTCCTTCTGGTCCCCACCTCCCTCGTCAGAAGACCGCCCAGGGGTGTGGCCGCCACCCAACCCTTCCTTAGGCTGAGAAGCCGGTGCGGTCCCCCTTGGAATGAAAGGTCCCCGCATCCAGGCTCCGCTGTGCGGGAGACTCCATGGATTGATTCCTTCATTGAATGAATTGATTCATTCTTTCATTCAATTCGTATCTATTGAACGCCTACTTTATGAAAGTAGAATTTGTGGTGCTCAGTGAACAAATGGCACCCTGAAATTCAGGGAGCGGAATGTCTTGCCAGAATCAGGCATGTCTCCTGCTCTGTCTGTTTGTGTCCCTGACGCGTGGTGGTGGAATTGTTAAACACCGGTGTTTACTAATATTCATGGTCAACCAGGACATCTGACTCATCCCTGAACTTACTGGGTCCTATTTGAAGTTTCCCTCCAGAGCCCTTGCAGTCGGTGTTGGAGACCCCTGGCTTTCAGGCTGAGCGACGATGGCCACACCTGGGCTGTTCGCAGAAGTCAGAGCTGCAGAGTAAGCAGAGAGGAAGTTGTTGAGGCAACAGGGTTGTGCGCCCACCGTGTGCCTAGGCTTCAAGAGTGAGGACGTGGAGAAGAGGCATAAGAAAGGAAGATCTTAAATGCTCTCACCAGAAAGAAAAGAATTACGCAAGGTGCTGGAGGTGCTAGCTAACCCCCGTGTGTCTATCACTTCCCAGTATCATTTCTCAATATGTAATTGTATCGAATCAACACGTTGAGCAATGAAACTTACACAATGTCCATTACATCTCAATAAAACTGGGGACAGAAGAAAAAAAAAGAAAAGAGGAAGGCACTTCCTATGGGCGAGGCAGGAGCAGAGGCCAGTACGAGTTCACAGGGAAGGGAAGAGGGCTCTCAGAGCAGCTCAGTCAGTCAGCCACTCACTCACTGGCTCCTTCTCTGTTCATTCATTCACTCCTTTATCACACTCACCCACTCGCTCACACATTCATCCTTTTACTCATTCATTTTGTCACATTTGGTATCTACCTGGAGCCGCAGGTATAGGGCTGGATCACAGACATCGGTGGGGAGCGGGGAGTTCTGGCCCCCTGCTCCCAAGGAGCACAGAGCCTGGCTGGCAGCCAGGTAAGGGCAGGTCATCACAGCCCAAGATAATCAGGGTGTATTTATGATCAAACAGGGCAGGAAGGTGTTTCTTTACATCCCACCCCGCCACCTGCATGGCCAGGAAAATGAAGGCAAGTGCAATGGCATCGCCAGGTAAGAGGACTTAGTGGAATTGCTACTGCATCGCCTCATGCTCACCCTTGGGCACACGCACAGGGCCTGGCCCAGAGGACTGGCCCAGGGGATGTTTTCATATCTCAGAGGCAGAGGGCGATGAGGTGGGGAATTGCGTGAGCCCTGGGTTCTAATCGCCTGGGTTTGGGTCTCCCCCACTTCCTGGCTCTGTAGCTGTTGGTAAGATATTTAGCGTCTTTCTTGGCCACTTTCCTCATTTGAGAAATGGGAAGAATAATAGTGTTTACCTCATTGGTTCGGTGTCATGATTCAGTGAACCCTCAGCACAATGGTTAGCTCAAGGAAAGCACTTAATAACTGATAGAAATTACTGTTCATTGAATGAATGAATAGTAATGGCTAACTTCATTAGGCTGAGCATTTACTGTTAGATGTGCTAACACCTTTGCACACATTACCTTATTTAATCTGGTGAACAATCCTCTGAAGTGTCCCTTTTACAGGTGAGAAAACAGGCTCTGAATGAGGTGGGAACAGAGGATGAACATGACTCAGCATTATATACTCAATAGGGTTATTATCTTGCAGCCAATAAAGATGATGAGACTCATGGTTACTAACAGAGAAAAAGGTGTCCACTAAGTGAGGAGAAGAGTAAACTACAATACAGTATTAACAGCATGATCCCACTTTGTTTATGGGAGGATGTCATTAAAATGTTAGCAGTGATGATCTCTGAGTAGTGGGATTGGGGGTGCCTTTAATTTTCCATTTTTAACGTTTTGCTCTTTTCTGATTTTCCACTAATGGGGATATGAAAATCTATTATTTGTGTAACTAAACTCGTGTTTTAATGGCTTTACATTTTAAAGAAAATACTCTAATGTTCAACTTAGCTTTCCTCCGCAGGAAGAAAGCAAAAAACCAAACGTATCCTACTTTCAATCCTCCCTTTTTGGGGGGTAGGTATAGAAGGTCGGTTTTCCCTTTTGACACAGATCAGATCTGGGGATTGAGGTGGGACCGCACAATCTGTCGTAACCCTGGAGTCAAGCGGCCATGGGTTTGCATTCCAAGCTCAGCACCTGCCCACTATGTGACCAACAAGGCAAGTCACTAAATCTCTGCTTTGTCCTTCCTAAGAAGGAGGTGACACCCAGCTTACAGGATCGCTGTGAGGGTCCAGACAGATGAGGCCTGAACAATTCACTCCTTGCCTGGCATGTGGAGAATTCCCAGCCACTGGGAACAAGAGTTATGATAAAAATTATTTATTTTGGTCAGAATAAAGTGCACGACCTCATCACTGCATAACTGACAGAAGGCAGCTGCCGGGGAGGGAGCAGGGTCTGGGGGAAGCCTCTCCTCACAGTCGCCTCGTGCTCTTGGACGGCTGGCTGCAAGGCACGCTGGAGCGGCATGCGGGCCAGTGTCTTCAGAGGGAGTAAGGACCTCCGGTGATCTGCCACATTGAGAAAAATGTCTCTGTTTCTGGCAAAAGTCCAAAAATTAATTTGTGAGCACAGCATTGGGAACGTAGTCAATAATATTGTAATCGCTATAGGCGGTGCCAGGTGGGTGTGGGAACTGTTGGGGGAGCGCTCTGTAAAGTACGTGGCTGTGTAAGCCACGTATACCTGAAATGGATACAGAACAATACTGAGTGTAAACTGTAATTGAAAAATACAATTTAAATTAAAAAATAAAATAAAAAAACAAAATTCCACAAAGGTATTGTTAAAAAAATTCACTTGTGACAGGTAGTGATGAAACCAGAACAGCCGGCGTTTGTGCTGCCCGTCCCTACCAAAAGCAGGGAGTAGAGACAGGGATTGGATTGTTTATGGGCGCTTTATTTAGATGTCCGGTGATCTGAGAAGACAGTGGGTTATATATGCCCTGAAAAAACCATCTTAACCTCTCAATCTGACCTCTTTTATAAGAAGAAAAGGGTCGGTAAGGTGTTTGGAAAAAGAGGTTAATCGAATAAGAGTTGCAGTCCTTGCTCTTTTCCTAGGACTTCTTTATCTGCATCAGGGACAGTTCCCTCCCTGGAGCACAATGGCTCACATGCTGTCTCCAAGGCCTGTGGACCCGCTGGGGCACAAAGGTCGACTTGCTTGTCCAACCTCCTGGAGCCAAGTAGGCCTTGCATTCCACTTCCTGGAATAATAGCTTTCCACATGCATTAATCACTCAAGCCTATCAACTATAACTAAAGCTAAAACCATGAAGTCTGGAGCTCCCCTGTCAGTAACAAACATCAACTCCCGCTGCTGTTGATGAGCGCCATTGTCTCACCCCGCATCCCCCCAGGCTTTGCACACTGTCTGCGTGCTCACCCCAGGCAGCGCAGACGGTGGCACGTAAACTTTTCCCATCACGGACCTGGCTCTCCAATGTCACCCCTCCTGCCACCTCCCCAGGAGGAGCCATTTCTGCCCAAACCACCATGGCCCCAACCTATCACCCCCTATCCCCTCTCCGTGGGTCTGTGCTGTCATCCCTGTTTGACAAGTCCTCTTACGGGAAAACACTGTAATCTGCGCTTGGTGAGATCATTTAAAGAATTCATTTACGGGCGAGATCATAACAATGACACATACATA